ACGTAAAACCCATTACATTTTTTGGTCAACAATTTTATGGGCTACTTTTGTTTACAGTAACCACAACCACCGACCTAAAGATTTGTATAATTGTCTTAGCTCTAGCCATTTCTAATCAAATCAAAAAAAAAAAATTATCAAATCTTTTCACAGTACTGTCCTAATATTTTATTAGCTTAAAGCATGTCTTTTAGATGTAGTCTTATTTTAAAATATTTAATGTTTCCATATCTTATAAACATATTTTATAATTTTGAAAAAAATATATGAACCATCACAAAAATTTTGATTTTACTTGATATTAGTAAATTATTAGTGTGGATATGTTAATATATTTGGTTTCTAACATTTAAAGCATGAACCATTTTAAAGGAATGTTGAATTTATTTAGTTAAGTATTTTTATAATTTAGTACTGTATAGATGGGAAAATGGGCATTTAATTCCCCAACTAAATAAAATCAGCAGGTTAAATACCCATGTTTTCCTTGTGCAGATTTAGTGGTCACTCTTTCTTCATAAGTACTCGTGTTCCTTCTTCACACATACTCCTCACTCCTTTTTCACACATACTCTGTAGCAGTTGGAACTTCAGGATATATGTAATTTCATGGCTTCCTTCGGATAGAAAGTTTGTTGCGTTTACCGATTTCATCTACTGTCATAAGAAATTGCAGAGGAGTCGGTTAGGGTTTGATTTGGGGATTTTGGAGTTTCTGAACAAAAACACAATCTTATTTGATTTAAAGATGACGATGATTAACGATGAGATAACTGTTGACTTTTTTTACTTTTGATTTTGCGCAGTCAAAGTATAGATGAGGGTTAAATCTGCACAAGGTAAACATGAGTATTTAACTTGCTGATTTCATTTAATTGGGGAATTAAATACCTAGTTTCCCCTGTATATGTAGACTTTTTTGATTACACAAGTGGTAGTGATTTGTCACGACCACACCGACATCGCATTTAATTTGAACTTGAATATTTTTCATGTTATTAATATTGAGAAGCATATTTGTTTTCAGTAATAACTAGAAAAATGTCACACAAAATTTAGATTAATCATTGATAAAAGTGTACAGCTTCTCATGTTTTAATTGTTAGTACAACAGAGAGAGAGGTCCATAACTGGCGCATTAGTTAAAACCTTCGAGTATTAATACCTTTGTAGAATATTAATACCTTTGCCTAATAATAGCTTCTCTATCCTGTACAGAAGACGATAGAGGATGGCCTTACAAAATAAAATATGCAAAATAAGTATTCAAATCATTAATCATGTAAAATATATTGTCAAAATTACGTTTGTTCAAAAATTTAATATTCTTCAAAGGTCGTCCACGTTTATACTGGATCATTATTTGCAACTAAAAGCATAAATTAAATAAATATGTTTTCACAAATTACCTATTCAAATTGTCCACACAAATATATACATATCGACAAATTTATTCTATGAACTCTATTATTAATTTAAGAAAAACTTTTGATTTTTTGTTCTAAATATTACTGATCAAAACAAAGATACATATAACAAAGTTAGTATATTTTTCTAGAAAAGAAATAGAGTAATTTCTGTCCAAACAAGAAATATCGGAAAACATTTTTTTGAAAAGTTTTAATGAGATCCTTTGAAACAATATTCTGTAAAACTAATTTTAGAATTGTTTTACGGTAAATCTTTCATAAAATAAATCAAAACAGTTTTGCGAAATAACTTACGTAGAACTAACTTCATAAAATTTATAGAAAATATTTCGTATAATCAAAACACTTTTAAAAAATAAAATTTTGTAAAGACAAGTGACTAGCGTACAGAATATTGAGGATGACCTTACAAAATAAAAGATGCAAATAAGTATTCAATAATGTGAAATATATTGTCACAATTACGTTTAATATTAAAATTTAATATTCTAAAAGGTCGTCCTTTATATTGGACCATTGTTGCAACTAAAAACATAAATTAAGAAATTTAATAAATATATTTTCACAAATTGCCTATTACAAGTTGTCCACACAAACTTTCTATAACTTCTATTATTAATTTAAGACAACTTTATTTTTTTCTGTAAATATTACTGATCATATATAATGTGTTTTCCATGAGTCAATTGATGTGTTTGTTTGAAAATAGTGGAAAGTCAAGTTAAATTACACGATAATGCGATATCAACAATTAAAATAACAAATTGATATAACTTCTTCGTGTTAGAACATACTTTGTATATGCGCACTATGCGACTATAAGATAAATTAGTTCATCTTAAAACGACTAAAATATTGGTGCGTCCTGCGTGAGTATCATGGTGGAATTGGAATTTCTTATCATATTAGTCTTATAGATGGATCGACCGGAATACTTTTCTTGAGTATTGTAGTAGTGTACTAACACTAAAATATTATCGATTTTGTCCCATAGTTTGAACGACTGACTGAATATGTTAATAAATTATTAATATTATTAGTCTTTATAACGGGGTCGATTATATTATAATATTTCTTGTGTTTTGTATTGGTGTAGTATTGTTTCTTGTTATAGAATAAACGATTGAATATGTTAATATAGTTGCATGTGTATTGTGTTGAATTTGTTTTTTTTAATCAGATAACAGTCTCCCTGCCCCTTTATAAAGGGGTCGACCAGGATGAGATTTAAACACCACACAAAACTTTGATTTTGAGAATAACACCACACAAAACTTGAGTTTAACAACTAAAAGAAGAATCTAAACACTAAACAGAGAAACGACATGGCAAGCAATGGCGATGACAGCTGCAACAGAAACTTTTGGCGGTTCAAAGGAAACGGTGCGACGAGTGATGCAGCGGCAGTAACATTGAGAAAGCTTGCTTTCGGGATGTTCAAAAACTGCAGTTTAAACAGTGGAAAGACAGTCTTATGCCCAACTCCTGGTGATCCCAATGCGTCTCCAAGCTTCAGGACTTGTCCCGAGGCCGAGGAAGCCGTGGCTGCAGCAGCACGTTCACGCATGGCCAACTCTTATGCACCAAGTCCCGGAATTTTCAAGGCCAGAAGGTCTGATTTATATACTCATTTTTATTTTCTTTTAATCTCAAAAAAAACGAAAAAGTAAAATAACAAAACCTAATTGACCTTAATTCTCATCATTCACTAGATAAATAAATCATTAGTTATTTATTTATTTTTGTTCAATAAATCATTAGTTATTTATTTGCCTACATTTTTCTAAACAGAGCGGTAGCTGACTATCTTAACCGAGAGCTTCCTGCGAAGCTCAAAGCAGAGGATGTGTACGTCACTGGAGGTTGCAACCAGGCAATAGAGATTGTAATTGATTCTCTTTCTGGTAATCCAGCCGCTAACATTCTGCTTCCAAGGCCCGGCTATCCCCACTATGATGCTCGCGCAGTCTTTAGCGGCCTCGAGATTCGCAAATACGACCTCCTCCCCACAAGGAACTGGGAGATCGATCTTGATGGCCTCGAGGCTGCTGCCGATGAGAATACCGTCGCAATGGTTCTCATCAATCCCAATAACCCTTGTGGAAACGTCTACTCCTACGATCATCTCACCAAGGTATAAAAATTTTTTTTTGTAGACTATATATCCGGAACCTTTTTACGTGTGACATATAATATAATATATGACGTTTTTTTAATATGGATCAATCTTTAGGTTGCGGAGTTGGCAAGAAAACTTGGTATAATGGTGATATCTGACGAAGTATATGATCGTGTTGTATATGGAGACAAACCTTTTATTCCTATGGGGACGTTCGCATCAATAGCTCCAGTGATCACCCTTGGATCCATATCCAAAGGATGGGTTGTCCCAGGCTGGAGAATCGGCTGGATCGCCATGAACGATCCTAATGGTATTTTTAGATATACAGGGGTTCGTCAACTTCTACACTTTTAATCTTAATTGACTTTTTAGTATAAGAAGAGTAACTAATATTTTGTGCCTTGTGTTGACATCAGGTAGTTGAAGCAATAGAGGATTGTCTTGATTTAACTCCACAACCTTCATTAATTCTTCAGGTTTGTAAGACTCTCACTATCAGTTACACATATTATTATACTAAGGTTCCTTTTACCTTTTTAGTAAAAATGGGCAATAAGCTCCTATCAGATTAACATAAAGAGATGTATTTTAAATATATGTATGTTCGTGGGATTTTCATAGGAAGCACTTCCTGATATATTGGAGAAAACACCAAAGGAATTCTTTGCCAAGAAGCTCAAAGCCATGAGACTCAGTGTAGATATTTCGTGTGAGAGGCTCAAGGACATTCCTTGTCTCTTTTGCCCCAAGAAACCCGAATCTTGTTCTTATTTATGGGTACTTTTCTTGTGCTTTGATTTACGATATGTGTTATATATCATTTACTTTTGAATTCTTGATTATATCCCATCATTAGGGAGCAACTTTGTTAATTGGTAACTTTGTTAATTGATATATAACTAACTGGTCTAAACAATTTGTTTTGCAGGTAAAGCTTGACACATCTATGTTGAATAATATTAAAAATGATTTTGATTTTTGCTCGAAGCTAGTTACTGAGGAAAGTCTTGTCCTGATACCAGGTATTAATTGATCTCTGCTGCCATATCTGAAGTTTAGGGTTTTTAATTTCTCAAAAGAAAAAAAAGTTTAGGGCTCTTAATGTCATATTCATGTTCATGATTCTACGATATTTATTATCATTTTTCTGTTTCACTAATATACATACTATCTGAAAATTAAAATTTTGCAGGAGTGGCTTTAGGCGCAAAGAATTGGGTGAGGATATCGATCGGAACTGACGAATCAGTGTTAGATGAAATATTTGACAGATTAAAGAGCTTTTACACTCGTCATGCCATTGCCAAAGAAGCAATCAAATTCGATGGTGATACCATTAATCTGATGGTTGTTTCCGTTATTTAAGTGTCGTCCACACTAGTACTTTTGTATACTTCCATTATATTTACAACACATATATAAGCTGGAAAACATGTAATATCAAAAAGGTACTAATATATTTTCTTTTCTTGAGTGCTTCATTTTCTTCTCTTTAACATCATTAAGAGATAAAATATTGTTTTCAACATCCCTTACAACAAATTCATTTAAAATATATCGTTAAATTTATCTGGTATAACAATAACTTATATGGATGATTATATCAGTATGAAAACCAACACTTTTCAACCTATTTTGCAAGTAGCTACAGCTTTCACTCACTACAAAAAAATGAAAAACTTGAACGACTATTTGGGTTTTTTTTTTGTGCAAAGAACGACTATTTGGGTTAAAACGATGGAAAATGTGTGCTTCTTTTTATAGTTTCCCAACAACCAAAAAGATGTCAAAATCATTCTTAAGAGTAAGAATATCGGTGGGACAAAATAAAATCCTTAAAAAATTTTGGTGTTTTTTTTCTATTTAAAAAAAAAGTGAATTACTGGCGGATCACACCACGTGTCAGAGGACCCGCAAACAGAGCAAAAGATACAACAAAAAAGTTTTTTTTATCTCAGGATTTTCTCCCCTTATCCTTCTTTGATTTTGGCAATTTGTGGTCCTCCCACCCAAGGATTCAGCAAGGACAAGCAATATGGATGATCTAACAACTTTTTTGTCTGGAGATCCAGTAAAAAGTTACGAATACCACTTGAAAAGGATCTGAATTTTTCAATACTTATCCAATCTTTATTGTTTTAATTTATAATTTTTCATAAAGAGTAGTATTTTGACTTTTCTATAGTCTTCTTGAAAGGGCAAGTAAAATGTAAGTTTGATATAATGATATTCTGACATGATACCTTTATCCAAAATATGCTAGTTTATTCTTATGAAAAAGAATAATAAACAGTGAAATGGATGTTGTTAAGTACATATCAAAAGTGTATCTTAAGTCAAGTATCTATGGATGTTGTTAAGTACATATCAAAAGTGTATCTTATGTCAAGTATCTCCCAAAAGATCTACAGTCTCAATACTGTATCTATCTTATGTCGAGCACCAAAGATGAGACAGGGACGTCTTTTTTTGACTATTACGTAATTAAGTAATTGTTTAAACTTAAGCAAATATCAAAAGCGTCTGTAGTCCAACGGTTAGGATAATTGCCTTCCAAGCAATAGACCCGGGTTCGACTCCCGGCAGACGCAAGTTTTTGCGCTCTAATTTCAAACTTGACTTTTAAAAGGAGTAGAAGATCCTACTCTTATTTCAAACCTCAATTTTAAAGTTTTAGCATGAATGAACCTTCTAAAATGATCTTTCGATCTCTCATTCTTTCTCGCCTTAATATAGTTTTCAAGATTCTTCGAGTAGAGGAAGACAACGTCAACGATGGGAACTGGGAGAGAAGCCAGCGTAGCTCAAGATTGAGTCAGAGACAAAAACATGATGCAGTTAAAGAAACTCAACATTGTTCTGTTCCTGGTTCGCTACAACGACAAGTACTACGCTGATACAATCTCATCCGGCGAATTCACTAAGCTTGGTTCGCCTTATGTCTTTTATGGATCAATATTATCTTTTCTTTTAATAGGAAAAAAAAAGTTAGTTGCTTTGGGACTTATGAACTGTTATGTGAGTAGGCTTTGCTAGTCAAGTTAGAAGATTCTATAAAGAGATCCCCTTTCGACTTGATCTGCTCCTGTTAATATTTGTTTTCCTTCTTTTTATACCTAGTAGCCCTTAACTATATGCATCTTTTAAATACACCAGCACGAGCCAGTTATCTTGTAAAATATGCATATAAGGTATATGAAACTGGTGTTAAAAAAATAGGTATTTGAAACTAATTATAGACTGTAAAATTCGACACCTTCTAGTTAATAATCTTTTGTTTTGACAATGTTGTTCTTTGGGTTGCATTGTTTTAAAACTACTTGATTTTTTAGAAATGTGTTTTCTTGCTTCCTCCTCTCAGCTTATTACAATGACATATCACATATGTGTTGGAGCTATTGCTTGTCGGCTGGAGAAGAAAGAAGGCGGGACCATGCGAGTTTATATAATGACACTTGGTGTTCTTGCACCATACCGCGGCATTGGCATTGGTGAGTCATAAATCTTCTATACACAAACTTGAATCATTTGCACCAGGAATCATATGTTCAATAGTCCATAGTCTTAATTTAACCAAAACATTTCCTCAAATATCAAGACTTAAAGAGGTGACCTCACTCTATTTCAATAACTTTTTTTTTTGCAGGTTCAAAGCTATTGAATCATGTTCTTGACATGTGCTCCAAGCAGAAAAACATGTGTGAGATATACTTTCATGTTCAGACAAACAACGAAGATGCGATTGTTATGTTGTCATCAAGTACTTTGCTCAATCTGAAGCCAAGAAATAATAACAATACATTGACTTGGGGAAGCCATTCTTCCGCCGGATTTGTTTGCTCAGTTCAAGTCTATTATTTACGTTGCAATGCGTCTGTGTCCCGAGTTTAGCTTGTTTTGATGACCTTAACTAAAGTTTCTCTATACCTAGTGATCATGACCCCTTGGTTTTGGACCCGATTGATTGGGACTTTGAACTCATGTCTTGACTACTACTGATGGTGTTTGTAACATGAGCTTTGCGGGTTTGATGCTAAACAGTTTAGCAGATTCCGGATTATGAAAACATTGTTCTATCAATTTGAGGATATGAAGAGGTACCAAGATTCTTGTGATAAGTGTTGAAGTGCGACGTTTTTATACAATATTAATATATGCAGATACTGTATGCTTTTTGTATGACAAAAAAAAAGAATTATAAAGATTATGTTTTTAAAGTTTTGTAATGTTTTTTTTTGTTGTAAAAATTAAGTTAGAAAAGGAAAATCAAATTATGACAATGATAATGTCAGTCAAAACCAATAAATATAATTTGATTTTAACTCTCAGTATCCGTTAGCGAGGATTTTGTAACATCCCGGTTTGTGGTATTTGGAAAAGGATTAACAGAATTGATTTGGCTACATATGTCACCAAAGTGCACTTACCTTTTCGGAAACACATCAAGAGAGAACTCCAGAGTTAAGCGTGCTTGAGCTGGAGTAGTCAAAGGATGGGTGACCTATCGGGAAGTGATTTGCGATACCGTGTAAGTGAGGCCAAAGCACGGGGAAAGGTCGGGTGGTGATTGCAGGGTCAGTAAACATGACTCTAGAACCCTGGAAAATTAACGGACCGACCGTTGGAACGGGATGGGGCCCACGGGCCGAGAGAGAGGACGTGGATGGCCCATTAGCCTGAGCGGTCGGGACGTTACAGATTCATCCTACTTAGTTAAAAAAAAAAGATTCATCCTCTTCACCTCTTTCTTTCTCTGCAAGTCACGTTTCTCAAGTATTAGGGTTTATTCTCCAAATCTTTCTCTGTTGTAAGAACTTTGATTCTATTTTCAAAAGATCTGTTTCACTATGGTGAATAACTCTGAAAATAGATCTGCTCCACAAAAGATTCTCAAGAAACTCAACGACGATGATGAATCATTGAGCAACTCTGAAGCAACAAAATCTGAGTCTCGTAATAACGTCACGCAAAAAAAAAAGATTTACAGGAAAACACAGGAACTTGATGTATCATTGAGGGAAACGATGAAATCTGTGGAGAAAGCTCACCGGAACAAAGGTATATCAAAGTGTCAATATAAATCAAGCTGAGAAATTTCGTAAGGGTGCATGTGTGAAGTAAGGATGTTAGCACATGTTTATAGTTTCTTTTTGAGTATTAAATCTGCATCATAAGGTTAATCTGGGATGTTATATTCTGTATCTAATTGTATTTCAATGACACACGATGTGAAATCCTACTTTGAAAGAGGACAAAAAGCTGGATCCAGGGAAACACATCGCTGCGGATGAGAAAAATGAGAGTTTCGAGCTTGATTATGCTAGCAAAAGAGACCGTCTGAATATCAATCTCGTAGTGACGTCTCTACAAACAAAAGATTTGCATGAAAATGTTTAGGAAGTTGAATTTGTTTCTCTCTGAAGTTCCTCTCTGAAGTTCCTAACTGTGGTTTTGCCGAGATAGACTTGTATGCATGTGTTTATGCATGATTTCTTTGGGTTTTTTTTTTTTTTTATGTTTCTTAACATTTGTAGGTATTGTAGTTTCTTCTTTGGAATTAGATTGGAGAAATTAGCTTATCATAACAAAAATCATGCACCTAAGCTTGCAAAAGAAAATGTCTCTGAAATTTTGTTTTGTTATGTACAAGTTAAGCACATGTACTCATGTTTATAGTTCTTTTTATTTTTCAGTTTGACATCCTAAGCTTAGTTTGGGTTTATATTATGGATTTAACTGAGGCTTATTTGCTATAGTTAGCATACAAATTAGGCTGAAAAAGGAAACAAATCGAATTATAGTGACGGCATAAATACCAATTATAGTGACGGCATAAATACCATCTTTGATTACAATAAACTGGTTAAAAAAAAAGATTACAATAAACTGAAAGGACGGGATCTTAGTGTTAGGTGTCTCCTCGTGATTTGCTTGATAACTTATTCATTTAAACCAAACAAAAAAATTATAAATTAAAGTAACATCTGTTTTTAATATGTCTTTTGTAGAATGTCCGAGCAAAACCGTTGTTATTAACACATTGAAAGTGTGTTGCTTGAATTTATTAGTTGTCTTGATCTCCTCGAGCTGATACTCTCAAAAAATTTCCTCTTCTGGCTCCACCCGTCATATACTGATATAAACTTTGTAAATCCAACTTCTCATTCAATGCTAAAAGCTAACTCTGCCTACTGTTGAGAACATTGTCATCTTTTGGAACAGTCCTGATAGTTTGGAACTTTGGTATGCTTTTATTTCCTTAAAATCATGCAAGAGACACGCAAGTTTAGGGGAAAGATTGAGTGGTCTGGTGCTCTCTTCAAACTTGATCCTCTCTCAAAGTCGTCATATAGCGTTATATTGTGCTTATGTCAATGGCTGAAATTCCAAAATAATTGATGTTTTAGATGTATCTAGTGTTGGGCATGTGTTTATTAGTTGGAGTGTGATTTATTCAATTAGAAGCTGAACGTGCTGTTTTTTTATGTGGTCGAGAAAAGTGTAAGACTATGTGACTATTGAGTTTTCTTTTCTGATCCAGTAGAAATCTTCTATAGAAGTTAAAAGTTAAAACATATGCTTCTTTGTTTTAAATATCTTCAATGTCAAATAAACCCTAAAAGTTCCAATAAAATATTATTACCTCTACACATTAATACTTAATATTTACATGCAACATAGTTAAGAACATCCAAAACATGTTGCATTAACGGTCGTTCTTTCCAGTTCCCCTTTGTGCATATTTGGATGAGTCTGCCCATTTTTTTTGCTGCATGCATAGGATAATCGCTCTCAAGTCGAGGATCAATTCTTTCCTCAAACGATCTAGTCCTAATATCTAAGGTCTCTTGACATTTTAATCCACCTTTTGAACCAGTAAAGAGCTCAAGCAATATCACACCATATGCAAAAACATCGGTCTTCACTCCCGCATGACCTACATACATTACACAATTTTTTTTCAAGATTTCATGAGGGAAATATATATTAATCAAATTAGTAAAATAAAAGTTACGATATTGGTGTACCTGTCATTGTATATTCAAGTGGCAGGTATGTAGTTGCTACAAATTCCCGAACATCTTCGATTAATAGTTCTTTTGAATCAAGATAAAGCAATTTTGCATTGTATTGCTGAGGAAATCAAAACTCAAAGGTATTAATTTCAAAGATCATTTAAAATAGAAGAAAAATGTAAGTAATTACCTCGTCAAGCATAATGTTATGCATGTGCAGTTCGTGGATTAACGGGATTTTCTTGATGGAGTGGAGAAATGCAACAGCTTGTGCTACTCCAATGGCTATCTTAACCCGTGTTTCCCAAGTCAATGCCTCCTCTTCTGTTGAAGAAACATGAAACCGTGTATGTCAAGGAAGGTTATATAAACCGGTTTACAATGAACACATTATATAGAAGATGAACTAACTTCCGAATATGTGATCTTCCAAACTTCCTTTGTGAGAGTATTCGAAAACCAAAAGTGATTTGCTATCTTCATAACAGTAACCTAAAAGCTTGACCAAGTTGGGATGATGTATCTCTCCTAGAGACTCCGCTTCTTCCTGCAATTCACATACGTAATAAGTACAAGACGTGACAATAGATATAAAAACAAGTGTGAGAAAATCGACATACTTTGTTTATTTTCCACACATGTTGACCCCGTGGACGATCTTGAAGACATTCCATGACAGAAATAGGGACTTTGGTTTTAGTTCTTGATAGTGCACATGTGGTGTCATTGATGTATCCCTTGTAGAATGTTTGAACCGAGCCATCGTGGCTAGTTACAACCCTGTCTTTTATGAAGCTTTCTGTTGCTTTCTTCAGTTCCTTGGCGCTGAAAACTCTCAGCTTCTCGTTTTCTGCCTCCTCTTTTCACACACATGATGTTTAAATTTGAGTTACATATACGTGTATATGTTTCAGAAAAAGTAAAATGTTTTATGAATAGAGAGATGTACCCAAAAATGGAGTGCTGAGCAGAGGCTCGTAAAGAAATGAAGGATGTTGTTGTCTAAGAGGCTTTAGACCGTTTCCCATTGTTGATGGAGATGATTAACCGGTAGATTTTGGTTTCAAATTTTTATCACATGTGTAGTAGATTTTGGGGGTTTATAATGAGGTCGAGAAAGGATATTCAAGTAGAAGATTGCTCACTTTGGTGAAACAAGCAGCGACAGTAGTATTGACTACGAGGTTACGACTATATCAATTTAGGGCAAGTTTGAGACTTGCGTAAATGATAACAAAACGCGTTTAGTTTATTTTAGTTTAGCTATTGACTTATTGCCAAGTAGGTTTGAGTAACCGATGTTGATTTGATTTTTCTTGGGGGAAAGTTCTACGGTCCCAAATTCAAGTCCAAGTCATTAACTGAAGTTAAGAATGCTTCTATGGCCTAATCTGATATATAGTCTTTATTTTTTTTAAACACTAATTTTTGTATGATAAATCTCTATTTAAAGCAGTAACCTAAAGTTTGACCAAGTTTGGATGATAAATCTTTTCCTATGGACCTAACTTCTGCCCGCAAGTCATAGTTTTGTGCCCACTAGATACATAAGTACAAATGTAAAGAACCTTTAAACCTCTATAAATTAATAATGGTGAGATTACACCAATTTTTTTTATTAATTTAAAGAGATTAATTTATCGATTTACTAATCGAACCAAAAATTCAATTTGAAACTATAAAATTATATTATTTTATAGAAATACTAGGTGTTTTGCCCGCACATGCGGGCATAATTTTCGTACAATTTATTATTAGTCTATATTTATTAATTCAAACCAATATAATAAATTATTATTTATGTTTTTAAATTAATTATAAATGAAAACACTCACATAACAAAATTTTTTACAAATGTAATGCGTTAATTTATTTTAATTATATTTTTTTCTATCTTAATTTTTTATTTCTATAATAAAAAATATATTTTCAAGATAAAAATATAATATATAAGAAGTATCTTATTTTCTGAAAATATAATTTTTAATAAAAATTCGATTTTATTTTATAATAAATTTTATATGAAATTATTAAAAATATGACAAATAATCTAAATTATCTAAACCATGAAGAAATTACAAATTAGATAATTCACTTAAATTTTCTAATAGAAAATATATGTTTAAGATAACAATCTTTAAGAATTATCTTTTCTTTTTTAAAAATCTAGTATTATTATATACATTCGTTTTATTATTTAAAAATTATATATGAAATTATTAAAATATGATAAATAAGCAAAGTATAAAACCATGGAGAAGTTGATAAATCAGCATTGCTTTCTTTATATTTAGCTATTAATATTTTAACTTAATTTTTAATTTCTATGATAAAAAAATATACTTTAAAGATAGCAATATAATACATAAGAATTATCTTATTTTGTAAAATATAATATTATTAATAGAAATTCATTTTTGTTACATAATAAATTGTATATGAAATTATTTAAATAATATAAATAAACAAATTTAGCTAAAATCAAGGAGAACATGACAACTAAGCAAATTTACTTCTTAAATAAATAATTTTCGTACAATTTATTATTAGTCTATATTTTATTAATTCAAACCAATATAATAAATTATGATTTATGTTTTAAAATTAATTATAAATGAAAACACTCACATAACAAAATATTTTTACAAATGTGTTGCTTTAATTTATTTTAATTATATTTTTTTCTATCTTAATTTTTTATTTCTATAATAAAAATATATTTTCAAGATAACACTATAATACATAAGAAGTATCTTATTTTCTGAAAATATAATTTTTAATAAAAATTTGATTTTATTTTATAATAAATTTTATATGAAATTATTAAAAATATGACAAATAATCTAAATTATCTAAATCATGGAGAAATTACAAATTAGATAATTCACTTAAATTTTCTAATAGAAAATATATGTTTAAGATAACAATCTATAAGAATTATCTTTTTTTTTTAAAAAAAAATCTAGTATTATTATATACATTCTTTTTATTATTTAATAAATTATATATGAAATTATTAAAGTATAATAAATAAGAAAAGTATAAAACCATGGTGAAGTTGATAAATCAGCATCGCTTTCTTTATATTTAGCTATTAATATTGTAACTTAATTTTTAATTTTTATGATAAAAAATATATTTTAAAGATAGCAATATAATACATAAGAATTATCTTATTTTGTAAAAGTATAATATTATTAATAGAAATTCGTTTTTTATTAAATAATAAATTCTATATGAAATTATTTAAATAAGATAAATAAACAAATTTAGCTAAAATCAAGGAGAACATGACAACTAAGCAAATTTACTTCTTAAATAATAGTATAGATTTAGTATAACCAAAAATTTAATGTATATCTAACACTATTAAAATGAGCATATAAAGCTCTTTGAAGCTGTCCACGTGTAAAAAAATATTTAACCAATCAGAATATTTCATTCTGCCACATCAGTGAGGCAATTCTGAAATTGGGCTTGAGGTTTTACAAATCCGTCATGTTAATAGCAGAAGCCCATGAAGCCCATTACATCGACTCTTTACGCCGATTTTCGTCTTCTATTGGTGAACTCTTTGCTTTTCGTCTTCTTCGCTTCATCAGTTTGATCTACGATCAATCAATATCCCCTCAACTTATTTTCTCCCTTGAATCTCATTAATGGATTCTTTTCGTTTTCCTCTTACTCAGTTTCTATATAAAGCTCTTCTTTGGAGTTACTCAAACAAAATTGATTTTTTTTCCTCTCATTAGTATATTGCGATGAGTTCATCTGTCAAATTGACTTATCTGGTGATACCAACTCGAAGAAAGCAAAAGGCAAAGCGGCAAACTCCTCCTCCAGTCCGATCAAACCCATCGGGAAAACCCGTGTATCTTCCAGTCTCTCCATTGGCGTTAAGGGCAAAGCGCTGCCTCCTCCAGCATCAGAGGAAAAGCTATTGTCACCGATGAATGGTTTCAAAATCTGGAAGGTGAGAAGTTTCGGATTCTTTTGTTGATTGATAAGTTTTTCTGATACTTTATCATGATATTCACATTGCTGACACTTACTACTTGATTGCAGAGCGGCTTACCTTTGGTCCAACAAAGGATCACCGAGTTGGAAGAAGAGGTATGTTCTTGCAAACTTTGTTCTGCCAAGTTTTGAGCTACTTTTTGCTTCAGATCCATTAATCTAAAGATTAACAGGGTTGGTATTGCTAGGTTTAACTTTCTGGGCTGCCCTGAGAACGGCCAAATTCAAGCTTTACGCTTTAGAGGATAAAGCAAGAGATGCTGAGGGTCAAGTTAAAGCTACAAATCTCCAAGTTAAACAGGTGTTAATTGGGTTGTGTTTGACTACTATCCATTCCTTTCTTTTACTATCTAAAGCATATATTTTATAGCTTACGTCGAGAATGTATGTGTGGATCCTCAAGTGGTTAAGCATATATTTACCTATAACTGGTTGCTATAAAAAATTTAAGCATGTTTAGTTTTGTCTGATTGCTTCTAATATACTTTCTGATCATTTATAGATGACCGAAGTTGTTACGGAGCAGTGGATTCTCAAGTTCAGCATCTTGAGCAGGTCTTTTAAATTATGCTTTTAAGTGTGTGAGTGATACCAAGTAGTGTATAGATTCACGTTGCTGATTTTTTTTTGTTCTAATTTCATCTTGAAGATGAGAGGATTCAGTAAACGAATGAATCATGTTCCTAGCAGATGCACTCTCTTGAAGGTAACATCTGAATACAGCTCTCGGACTTACATGAAGTTTGTACACAAGCTTGAACCTTTGTTTAGTCATCTCAGAAGTCTCTCATTTCTCCTTTGTGGATCTGCCTCACTGCGTTTTTAGTTTTTTTTTTCTCTCATAAACTATTGCAGGTTGGGATACTTTATGAGTCTATAAACACACTTTAAAACTGGGTCATCTGGCCATTGATGCGGTCGCTGCTCACTTCTTGAGATTTTATAAGGAGACAAAAGTTAAGTCTGACATTTGGCACCAAACTCTTCTCGCCTTTGTGCAACGGTAAGGAATAAGAAGAAGAGTGGCTCATTTCAGGCACATTACGTCAGCTTTTGCCTATCATGTCAAGTGTTAGGTTCTTCTTTTGCAGCCTGTGGAGAGGTGAGGAGTATCTGAAATTTCTATCGTTGTTTGTGTAGATGATGTTATTTAGTTGATGTGTTAAAAAAATGTTATTTAGTTGGAGTAATTCATATATAAAGTTTACAGGCTCAACGTCAACCCACCCAAATAATTAAGTATTTATGGGAAAAGAATTCTTCATTTTAAATCTATTAAGAACCAAAAAAATAAAACTCTCACTAAATTTTATTTATTTTATTTTATTTCTAATGTTTGTTTTAAAACACATACTCCCTCTGTTTCATTATAAGTGTCACTCAACAGCTGTGCACACGGATTAAGGAAACAATTAATTTTACATATTTCCTATATAAAAATACAATTACCCATACACCTAACCATATTTTAACCAATAGAAAAACACATTACATAATAAAATTAATAAATTTTGCATTGAGAACCGAAAACGACACTTATTTTGTAACACAAAAAACTCTCTACAACGACACTTAATATGAAACGGAGGGAGTATAACAGTCAACCACAAATTATTAAAAAATAACACAAACAAATTTTGGGATAATGAACATTAGTTTCAAATAAAACATCAATAAACACTACACAATAAACTAATCTGCTTCTAAGTTGTACTGGGCTGGGTATTAATTAGGCAAACTAAACTCATTAGGGTTGCAATTCATTGGTCTTTTATGATTAGTTTTAATGAAAGAAATTTAAAAAAACAAAAAAAACTAATCTGCTACAACATCAAAATTCACACACAACATGAAACACATAACAACAATATTTTAGTAGCTCACCTAAAACCCATAAAGATACAAATACTGACGAATCAAACACTTTAGTAAAACAGAGGCATTACATTCCAATATATATGGACAAATTATTACAATTGTCACTTACAAAAAAACAGCAAATATCTCTTGG